GGTCCACCTGGGCTCGCCGGTCCTATGTGGGGGTCACAAATAGGAGGTGTGTGGCCGAGAATCACGTACGGGACCCAAAAATAGGCCGAGAGCCACGTGCAGGACCAAAAAAAGGGAGATTGCGGCGGGGGCGGCAGCGTGCAGTGCAGATCGGAGGGTTGCCAAGTTGTTCGGATCTATAGCAAAAATTAGGGCATTCAGAATTTAGCTTTTCCCTATTTAGAGCATCTATAGCCGAGTGCCTCAAACCCGCCTCATACGCCCGGGCAGACCGCCCGGTCACGATTTTTCGAACCAGACGGGCTCCTTAAACAGGCCTCAAACACCCGGGCTAACCGGTACCCCTCCTATCTAGCCCAAATATGGGGCAGATATGGGTACGCCCGCCATGTCAGACCCGACAGCCTGACCCCACTGGAAATCGCACCAAATCCATCCCCAAGACCTGCCGGATCCATTTGCTATGTCCTCTCTTCTTCCTCCTCTGCGTCATCCGTCTCGCAGCTCCGCTACCACGAGCACTCCGCAGCCGTTCGTAGCCTCTGCGCCCCTAGATCCGGCAGAGCAGTCCTCTCTCCCATCCTTGCTGCAGGGGACGTCGTCGCCGGCCCAGACGCCACCGCGGTACATCTGGCAACTCTCTGGCTCCGCCTTGCACTTGATGTGTTCAACACATTGTCCGACTGCATTTTTTGTGATATCATTAGGGAAAACAATGGATTCCGATGCTTTGTCGGATGGGGAGTATGGACCGGCGGAGCTTGATTAAATGATTCAAGATGAGTTCTTCGATTCCACGGATTCGGACGAAGAAGTGGACATCATCATGCTCATGAGCATGCAAGAGGAAATGGACCGGCAAGTGGGGCATATTCTCAACTTCAAGGGCTCTATCAAAGGGAGAAGAGTGATCAACCAGGATAGGGTGTCCGGAGCAAAGCTACTGCAGGGGGACTATTTTGCTCCCAATCCTACTTTCCCGAATGATCCGTGGTTCTGTCACCATTTTCGCATGCGGAAACCATTGTTTTTGCGCATTGTGGAGGGAGTGGAGGCACACGACGGCTACATCAAGCTCACAAGGGATTGTTGCGGACAACTCTCTTTCTCTCCCAAGCAGAAGTGCATGGCTGCTCTGAGGATGCTTGCACTTGGTATTGTTGCAAATGCCGTTGGTGAGATGGTCAGGATGGTGGAGAGGATGTGCTTGAAGACTACTGTCAAGTTTGCCTGCGCCGTGGTGGAGGTGTTTGGACCTGAGTATCTCAGAGAACCAAATGCTCAGGACACAGTGAAGCTGTTGGCTATTGGAGAGGCAAGTGGGTTTCCAGGAATGCTCGGATCAATTGATTGCACGCATTGGCAATGGAAGAACTGCCCCAAAGGTTTGCAAGGAATATATCAAGGTCATACCAAAGATGCCACCATCATACTAGAAGTGGTGGCATCACATGACTTATGGATTTGGCATGCTTTCTTTGAAATGTCGAGTTCTAACAACAACATCAACGTGCTTCAATGATCTCTGGTGTTCAGGAGGCTTTGCAATGGGGAATCACCTCCGTGCAACTAAACTGTCAATGGCCGAGACTACAACATGTGATACTATCTTGCCGATGGTATCTATCCTCAGTGGGCGGCCTTTGTGAAGACCATATCTGAACCACATGACAATAGACAGAGCCACTTTGCAACAATGCAGGAAGTGGCTAGGAAGGATGTGGAGAGGACATTTGGTGTACTTCAAGCTCGTTGGGGGATTATGCGGAGTGCTACAATGATGTGAGAATCAGAAACCTTGTGGCAGCTGATGACATGTTGTGTGATTCTGCACACTATGACATGTCAAGGATGAGGGTGATGGTGTAGCTCAAACCAATGATTTTGAAGCACCTGGAAAGCAAGTTGAAACCCCGGAAGATCAAGATGTAGTTCAGCTCATGAACTTTCTGCAAATGGATCGGAATCTTGAGACCATCAAGTGCACACGCAGCTACTCAATGATCTTGTGGAGCACATATGGACCCACAATGAAAACCAAGGAGCTAATGCTTGAGTTGTGCACTTACAATAAATTTTATGTAAACACTATCTATGTTCCGTACCAACATTTGTTATTTATGTGCGACATTGTGTTTTATAATCGACATGCGTGGATTTGCAAGGACTTGGGAGTACGGATTTGAGATATGTGGATGTCGGGAGGGAAATATGAGGGCCCGGACGCATCCGCGGACGTATAGGGGGTCGAATTTGCTAAGTCCGACTGTAGATACTCTTACAAACACAACACACAACACATCCCACTAAGCACTAGTTAGGGCATGTACAATGGTGCTATCTTAGGAGTGCCACGTAGGATAAATGATGAGGTGGAGAAGAGAGAACTCAAAAAAAAAGCCTGCCTTCTCTTATTTAAGAGAAGACAAGAGATGATCTCTTAGCACAATATGTCTCAGCGCGTTTTTAGAATAACTAGTTATTTAAGATAAGACTAAGAGATGACTCATTATAGACGTTTTTCTTTGTCATCTCTAAATTACATGCAAGTCTTAAGATAAGACTATCTTATCAACCATTGTACATGCCCTTATGCACCAAAGCCCCCCTCCAGCATCCTGAGGTCTTCAGACGGCATTCCTGAAACTCTGGCCAGAAGTTTTTTTTTTTTTTTGAGGGGCTCTGGCCGGTAGGTAAGCTGTCTCACATGTCATTTGCTCAGTCAACACCAAGAACGACGACTTAAGACTTGTGGTTGCTCGGTCCGCTCACGTCTCAACTAAAAAAAAGATTGTGTCACTTTTAGACAGCAGAGCAGACAGCGCAGTTCGTCTACCCAACCATGCATACAAATGCATTTCAATTTCAGTTGGTAGAGACATCCAACTCGCCACCAGAACGACCACAAGGCTCCCAGAATTTCTCTCATCACCACACCTCGGAAGCACTGGCAAGGAAAAGAGAAGCTCTCTTGACTCCATAGCCAAGGACAAAGAGACGCTGAGAGCCATGCTTATTGAGCCTTGCCACTTGCTCGCTCTGCTCCTCGTCGCTGCCGGTCACTGCCTTGCGGCCACCAGCGGTGGCAGCGATGACGGTCAGCGCTTCACCCACCACGGCTTCTTGGGTGCGAACCTGACGCTCAACGGCGCGGTCGAGATCATGCCGAACGGCCTCCTCATGCTGACCAATGGTGTCACCAGAAATATGAAAGGCCAGGCCTTCCACCCGTTCCCGCTGCCGCTCCGCGCCACGTCGAACGCCACGGTGCGGTCCTTCTCGACCACCTTCGTCTTCGCCATCTTCGGTCAGTACGAGGACCTGAGCAGCGACGGCATGGCCTTCTTCGTCTCCGCATCCGAGGAGGTGCTCTCCAAGGCGTTGTCAGGTCAGTTTTTGGGTCTCCTCAACGACACCATTAACCAGAGCGCCCGCATCGTCGCCGTGGAGCTAGACACGTTCCAAGATGCCAAGTTGCAAGACATCGACAACAACCACGTTGATGTCGACGTCGATAGCCTGGTGTCGCGCAATTCCTTCTCCTCCGGGTACTACGATGATGACACCGGTATGTTTCAGAACCTAAGCCTGATAAACCGGAAGGCCATGCAAGTGTGGGTTGACTACAACGGCGTGGCCACAGAGATCGCAGTGACCATAGCTCCACTAGGGGTGGACAGGCCCAAGAAGCCCCTGGTGCAGACCATCATCGACCTCTCTGATGTGGTGCAGAGCACGGCGTACATTGGGTTCTCGTCGGCAAGTGGCGGTCTCATCACCGCACGACACTTCCTCCTTGGTTGGAGCTTCGCGCTAGATGGGCCAGCTCCTCCACTGAACATCTTGGTGCTGCCGGGCCTTCCATCAACCCTGACCAACGCACGGTCCATGTCCATCTCAACGAAGATCGTGATGGCCTTAGCATCGGTGGCGCTGGTTTTGGTGGGCATCGGAATCTACATCTTTATAAGACGACGTCTAAAGTACTCAGAAGTGCATGAGGACTGGGAGATTACATCCAGTCCAAACCGATTCTCTTACAAAGACTTGTTTCATGCGACCGAGGGGTTCAGTGACAAGAACCTTCTTGGGAGGGGAGGTTTTGAAAGTGTCTATAAGGGTGTGCTTCGCAAGACGAACATGGAGGTCGCCGTGAAGAGGATGTCACACAATTCAAGGCAAGGAGTAAGAGAGTTCATTGCTGAGGTGGTGAGTATTGGTCGTCTTCGACATTGAAATATCACACAATTGTTAGGCTACTGCAGGCGGAAGGGTGAGCTTCTCCTGGTTTATGACTACATGAAAAATGGTAGTCTTGACAAGTACCTACACACAAAAAATGGCCCAACTCTATGTTGGTCCCAAAGGTATTCAATCATCAAAGGTGTGGCATCAAGCTTATTGTATCTACATGAGGAATGGGAGCAGGTCATCATCCACCGAGATATAAAGGCAAGCAATGTGCTCTTGGACAGCAAGATGAATGGACGGTTGGGTGATTCGGTCTTGCAAGGATATATGACCATGAAAGTGCCGCTGAAACCACCCATGTGGCTGGCACCATGGGATATCTTGCACCAGAACTCTCGCGGACAGGTAAACCAACACCCTTCTCTGATGTATACGCATTTGGCGTCTTTCTCCTAGAGGTCACATGTGGACGTAGGCCAATGTTCACCGACAAGCAAAACAATCGGTTATTGTTGGTCGAGTGGGTGCTTGAGCACCACCACAATGACTTAATGCTCGACACGGTGGATCCACGACTTGGAGGGGAATTCAACACGGAGGAGGTAACCATCGTGTTCAAATTGGGTTTGCTATGCACGTACCCATTGCCCAACGCGTGGCCTATCATGCGAAAGGTCATGCAGTACCTTGACCATGATCAATCGCCTCCTGATTTATCACCGGCCTACATAAGCTACATCATGATGGCCCAACTACAAAATGAAGGGTTTGATTCACACAACATGTCATGTTCTCATGCACCAATGAGTGTTGCCACCGTTTCGGGTGAGTCTTCAGTAACAATTTTGCGAGAGGGAAGATGAAGCATGTATGCAATTGACATCCCCCCACCCCCTCTCACTCTTGCTTTTGCTAATTTGATAAATGAAGCAAGGACTTGTATTAAGAAGTTTTGCTATGTTGTCTGGCACTGCTTCGTGCTGCATATCAGAACTATCCGTTTTCCATGGATGTTTTTTTTTTGTGGGGGGGTCATAGCTTTGAACGTTGGAGTGTACAGGTACTCTGACGAATCCTTGATCAGCCTGGTAACCTGATATTTTGTGCACGTAATGAATCAGCTAGTAACAACATATCGTGTGTTCATGAACGGCTTAATTGAAGGTCAAGAGCGTACATGCACATGATTCGATTGGGTTTGCGGCGTGAACTAACCCTTGGAGGATAACTTGGTTGTGCCCGTGATCATGAGTTTGTGACTGAGTAGTCAGGTTGGGGCCTACCTAATCTTCCGGTGGCATGTTACAAAAACAGATAGCTAGCGTTTGGTGTGTTGTTGCCTAGGAATTCGACCGTTAGGCTACTCCAACTTTTCATCAGAAGAATTTATATGGCTGTTCTTAGCTGGCTTGTAAATTGAGAGCCTTTTAAACGGTAACAATGAATTGTTTTAGAGGGTAGGAGGAGATACTACCTAACAATTTTGAGTATATGGTGGCTACCAATCCGGTATAAGCTGTGATGCTTATGTGCCGGACAGTGAATAGTGCATTTACATGGACTGGAAACCGCATATACCTTCAGGCCCTACTTCATATAGAAAGCCCAACTGTCGACAATATCCTACTGGGTATGGAGGAGGAGAGAAGTAAGTTGGAGAAATTCACAAATGTGCATGCCATGCTGGACTCCCTGTGGGGCTTCTCCGAAAAGAAACGAGTACTGGTTATCACATTGTGGTGGCATTGGTGGAACATTAGGAACAAAATCAGAGAGGGGGAGCTGGCGCCGGGGGTCTTTGAAACTATAAGAAGAGTGAGATGTAGCACCTTGGAGTATGAGGACAGATTTGTGACCAAGAAGTCAGGGTTGACACGGTCCGGGCCGGTCCGAGCCGTCCTTTGGACCGGCCGCCAGCGGTCCGGTCCGGACCGGACCGAGCTGTCCAACGAGCTGCTTTTCTGGGACCGGACCATTTGGGGGTCAGCTCGGTCAAGCCCGAGAGGACCGAATGGACCGACTAGTGATGTTGCCTAGCAGGCTGTTTTTTGCTGCGTTAGGTCCAATTTAGCTGTTGTTTATGTAGTTGCAGATAGCTGCCGATCACACAAGAGAGAGAGAGGGAGAGGATTTACTGAATCTAGATAACCATCTAACTGAATCTAGCTAACCATCTAGCTGCTGTTTAGGTCCTGCGAGCGAAACTAGCTAACCATCTAACTGAATCTACTGACAGACTAGCTAAAACTACTGACCGTACTGACGAAACTGAATTTTGACGAAACTGACGAAACTGACAGCGAGCCACCGGCGTATGTGGACACGCTCATTGCTCTCTGGGTCCTGGAAGACCACAACGATAGCAATTGAAGGCGGCAGCGTTGGCTCGCGGATGGAGAAATCGTGGGCTTGTGCGCCGAGTTCGTCGGTGCACGAACTGAAACAGTGGCCTCGGAGCTGCAGTACATCATGGCGAACCTGGTGAAGCGCCCACACATGCAAGAGGCCGTCCAGTTCATCCTGGTGGCGCTGGCGAGGCGTTCGCCTACCTGGGCTAGCTGGTGGCCAGTGTGCGAGCTGCGCTCAAACGACAGCAATGGCCATGGTCGAGAACTCCAGATTGGCGGCGGTGCAAGCACGACAGTGATGGCGAGTGGCAGCAAGAGGCTAAGGCGCATGGGAAGGAGAGGAAGGAAGAATAGGGGAAGCTCGGGGACACGATGGTTCACCCGGGGGCTGCCGGTGGCCGCGACGACGAGGAACTGCGGCGGCGGTGACTATGTTTTCTCGGTCCGCTCGGTCGGCTCGGTTAAAGCCCGGACCGGACCAAAGCTTTGTCGGGCCTGATTCTTGAGCTCGGACCGACTGATTTTTTGAGCGGGCTAGGCCCGAGCTGGCCAGGACCGAGCGGGCCACGAGCCAGTCTGAAAGACCGCTCGTGTCGTCCACCCTGACCAAGAAGGATAGACAGGAAGGGAAGTGGCAGCCACCCAATGCAGGTGAGCTCAAAGTTAACCTCGATGGAGCTTTCACACAAGGCAGTAACTTCGTGGGTGAGGCGCTGTGATTCGGGACTCTACAGGGCAAATCATCGCTGCCAGAGCAGGTCGGCAAGAGCAAACCGAGGACGCCTTTGGAGAGGAAGTTCAGGCAATGGCAGGAGCCGTCGGTCTTGCAACTGAGATTGGCGATGTCCGGGTCGTCTTCGAGACCGACTCCCAGCTGCTGGCTGAGGCGCTAGACACTCCTCGCCATATATTGTCATCCTTGAAGATATTAAGCTCCAGCTAAAGCTTTGGTTTGCAAGGCATAGGATACGCGCATGTAGACGGAATGAAAATAAGGTAGAGCATGAGCTAGGCCAGATTGGTTGTATGTGTCTGCCTGGTATATGTATGGAGTGGGAAAACAATGTACCGCCCTCAATGGCTGCATGTGCGCTGGGTGACTTACCCACGCACCATTAATCTATAATGCTTTGCTTTGCCTTAAGAAAAACCTCCAGCCTGAACTTCATGGTGTTATCACATCTGATAGCAATGGCTATCGGTCAAGGTATAATCTGTGCTTGCATTACCTGAACTTATAATACTTCACCAAAATTACCATCATAAACCGTGCAACTAATAAGTAGGTCGTGCGACCTTTGCGACTCGTGACACTGGGTTGGCCTACCTGATATTTGTCCGGTCGCATGGTACAAAAACAGCTAGCTAGCTTTTGTTCTGTTGTTGCATGGAGGAATTGGACCCTTTTAATGCCCGTAGATCGCGAGGCATGTGATCTACTGCTAAAGGGGTTAAGCTTATTTTCATCACGAAGCATTACCATGGCAAGTACACAATATTCGTTGTCTATTAACAGCTGGTTGGCTTATCATAAACTGAGAACCTTTTATTCAATAAGGTAAGAACCTAACGATTTTCCGTAGCTTGTAAAAGCATAGTGCGCAGTCGTTGTAGCGCCAAAGAAAGTAGTACGATGCGTGTACGTACGGTTCCATCGGCAGCGTTGAGTAGCCGCAACGCGACGTGCGTACAAACGGTAGCAACCGTATTCCGTAGGTATTAACATGGCGCGGTGCACAAGCATGCGCAGTACATAGGGTACGGTACGTGGTACCTCCTCCTACTCTTGGGGACCGCCCGTGCCGTGCTCCGTCACCTCGCCGGCCGCTCGTGGCTGCGGGGTTAATATCTGTCAGTCAGGGCGCGTCAATGGCTACATGTCAGTCTTTTGTCACGAGCCAGCCATTTAGATCGAGCAGCACCTGCATGCGCGCATGGAGCAGAGTGCTCAACTTCTGACGCCAACACTGTCAAGGCCCAAGCTCACCACCAACGCCGACGAGCTCCCTGAAACTGTCGTCCTCGAGGATGCGGCTGCCGCCATGGCCGGCTTCGTGGGCCTCCTCCGCCAGCTCGGGGACCTCGCACAGTACGTTGCTCCTGTCTCTCCATGACTCCATCCCTCCATCCGACCGCATACTGCAACTGCACGAGTTCAGCTTCCCATGGCTTTCTAACGTGCGTGCGGCTCTGAACCTGATCTTCTTCAAGCTTGCCATGGAAGTTTTCCACGGCCTGCACGACCAGGCCACGGCGGTGTCCGCTCGGGCGCGCAGCCTCACGCTAGGGGCGCGGCGGCTCGAGGAGGCGCTGCCGCTCGTCGAGGAGCGGCTCCGCCGTCATCGGAGTGGACGGCCCTGCTTCCTGCAGACACACGCTTGTGTACTTCATCGGCCAGAAGCTCTGTGTCCCGTCGCAGGCCACGGTGTGGATCGGCCGGTGACTCTGGTGGGAGGAACGAGGCCGTGCTCCATCGCAAAGCTCATCCAGCGCTGCCGCGGGCCTCCGCAGCTGTCCAAGCTGGATAAGTAACACTTCTTTACCGAAAATAAAACAGCTCAAAGATGATCTTTTCCCTGGTTAATTTTGGCTTGTTTTGGTTGTAGGTATGATGCTGGTGGCGAGGGAGCGTGCTTGAAGAGATACACCGACCCCTCTTTCTTCAGAGTCCACTCTGCAGAGCATTCCAAACCAGACCTTCAGAGTTCAGATAGCCATTCCAAACCTCCTGCCGAGGAAACCCACCATAAAAAGTACTCCAAGTATCACTTCTTAAAGTTCTCCCTTTTTCAGCTTTCCTTCTCCGTGTTCATTCTTTAGCATCCAAATTAACCTGACATTTGAACCTCCTGCAGATTTAAAATAGGTACCTTGTCCGATACGCTCCGACAACTTAAATATCGATGCATCATTGGAAGAATCAGGCGTCAAATGCAAAACTTTCAGAATCAAGATTCGTCAGAAGATGAAGCATCTGAAGCACACGTTTTGTCTTCATCGGATTCGCCTGAAATGTCAAACACCCAAGCGCCATGCCCTGCAGTACCAGCGAACAAGGAGAGGAGCAGTGACCTCGTTGAGAGGACCAGTTCGTTTGGGGCATGGCTCTCTCCAGGTGCAGCCTGTACTTATGTGAGTGACATCACAGAAGGCAACGCTGATGGATCTGCCAGCAACGGTGCCAACAAGGCCAACGAGAATGCGAACATTGCAACAAATTCTCGTAGTGCGCTTGTTGACTTCATCGCCGCGAGGGCCGAAAGCTCACCGAGGAAGCTCTCTGTCAAGAAGCACCATGACCCGTTGACCGAATCCTTCCGGAACATGGCTAAGAAGCTGCTGCTCGAGAATGAATCGACAGAGAATTTTTGTAACAACAAACTCGTGCATTCTGAAGATGCACGTGATCCAGATGAAGTTGCATTTTACAGCAAAAGCGCCGAGGAGACTTAACAAGAGGCGATCTCGGAGCAATGTGACGATCCTAGCATAGATGAAGAAGCAAGTGGCTGTAG